CAACCAAAGAATGACTTAGTTGAGCTGAACAGTGCTGTGCTTATTAAATTTATGGCTTCTGGATTTATTCCCTGGGATAAGTTTAGAGGATGCTGATATTTTGCCTCTTACCTGTTTGAAAGCCTCAAAGAAGGCTTCGCAAAGATACACAGTGAATCAGCACTGCTCAGGACAGGCACCATTGAGTTGTAGGAGAGAAGAATCTGGCTTGTGGAACCAAGTAATTACATGGAAACTTATTCTTTACTAGCCCAGACAGGGTTTTGTCTTACTGTTTTACAATTTTTCTTTGGGGGAGGGGGAAGGCACAACAAAACAAATCCAAAAGGAAACCGTATGTGAAAGCCCCCATATGACAATCTGGAAGTGATGAATTTAAAGATGCAAAAGTCAGCAGGTTTGGTATTCAGGATTTTCACGGTCACATTTAACTTATCTTCATGGTACACAGTAAATTCTAGGTTATTGTCCTCGTATGGGATCACTGCTAAACATGGATTCTTTTTGGTTGTTTTGCTTGTTAGCCTTGAATATTGGTGCAAGTTAATGTCACATATGAATTTTAATGTGTATGTCCTCACTTTGGTCTGTGAGTAAAACAGCATTCGGAGAGTGGGTACTGTGGCAAATTGGTCCTAGAACCCAAATGTTCCTGAGTTTTAAACTACTTAGGGGACTTCATTTTAATCTCCTCTTGGAAGAGAATTAAGACCTTTCACAACAGTGGGAAAGAAACAAATCTACCTGTTTGTGTTGTCAGTTCCACTCTGCTTGGCTTGAGGAGGCGTGGAGCCATGGGGCAGCCCACTTTTAGCCTGGGCTGGGGGAAGGACAGACATAATTCAGAGAGGAACCGGAGTGAGCTTTGGGAATATGGCCCAGGGGGGCCCATGGCTGCCATTTGGCCCAAGGCTCTGTCATATATGGCTAGCCTGTAACATTGAGCACACAGCAGTTGTGATGTCATGTTCACCACCGTGGAGAGGCCATAATGCTCAGCTCAAGGACAGAGGCCAACACCTGAGAGCTGTCTGCATTAGAACTCAAGTACCCCAAGATTCCTTTCTCTTTCATCCCTTCTTTTCTCAGAGAAGAGAGTGTTTAATGCCTACATGTCAAGTACCATTATGAGCCCCTTGTTTGGTCAAGTACCATTATGACCACCTTATAATATGTATAATATCTCATCTGTTTCTCAAAGCATTCCTACCAAGTAGATACTACAACATTATTCATATGGTTAAAGAACCCATGGCTTGGAAGTGCTAACTTGCTCAGTTCCCATAATCAGAAGGACGATTGGGATTGAAACCAGACACTCATCTATTAAAGCCTCTTAGAGTACATAGGACCTGGCAGGTACAGACAGAAGGAAGGGGAAGGGGCGGCAACTTGATTGAGAAGCATCTCTAACACTTCTGTGCTGGTGCAGCCTGGCCTCCCGCTTCTCCCTGGTTTCTCTGTGATAAGCGCTTCTCCCTGGTTTCTCTATGATGAGCGTCTCTAGGCCGCATGTTGAAATGCGCAGGGAGGGTGGGTTCCCTCTTGTGCTTATTTAGCACTTGGCTGGCACTCCCAATATTGTTTAACAGCTGACAAGCTGTTAGATCACAAGAGAATAAAGACTTCTCAGTATCTCAGTGTGCTTCTCTGCAGAATGAACACCATAGCCTTTTCTTTCTCTCCATGTGGACCTTGAAACATAGCTATTATGTATGTTGAGCACTTCAAGTGCACAAGAGCATTTCTTCAAAGTGAATGGAAGCAATGGGATCTTCTCTTGGACAGACCTGCCCTCCCCTTCAAACACCAGTTCCTGTGGAGACTCCCACCCCTTGAAGCTCAGCAGGCCACCAAGTCTCATTTTCAGTGAATGTTATTTAAAAGCCAAAGCAAGCTGACTACAAACTTTTTAACATGTGCCTCTCATCTGCTCAGCAGAAATCCCTGTAACTTGTTAATAGTTCCCTTTTTTTTTTTTTTTTTTATAGTGAAACCAATTGAAGCCCTAAATCAGTACCATTCATTCCATCTTGGGCCATCAGAGAAAACCATTTAGAGTTGTAGCAAGTCATCTGCTCCGTCTTGCACTTCCTGCTGCAGGGCTGGGGCTGGTGCCTGCTGGAACGTACCTATAACAGGACAATACAGCACATTGAACAGGTGGTCTCCTGGGGGACCACATAAACACCAGATCAGGGAGAGCAAGAATGGACTTTCAAAGAGAGGAGAGCAGATATACATCCCATAAAACACAAATCTCTTTACAGCTGGAGTCAGGTTTCTCTGTTTGTGCCACATTACTTATTTCAGTGGAGCTCACGGCATTTAAAGTGGAAAAGGGGGAAAACGTGTAGGATGCCTCAAAGAGGAACCGCAGGCTCACAGTAAATGAATCCCAAGGTTTTCTGCAAGGCATTGGAGGCTCGGCTCTTCAGCTTTACAAAAACAAGAAGCTTTGAGATGTTTGTCTCCTCCTTCTAGAATCATCTCCTTCCCAAATTTCTTCATCATATTAAAATGATTCCTTGGGAAGTACTTGTAAATTGGCCGGTATACCCTGTGTTACTTTAATCCTTAGACATAGATTTAATTCTGAGAAGGGCATAAACTGAGTCCCATTACTTTCAGGCTTTCATAATGTGGTTGAGGAGTATGAAGAGGTGGCCTGTGCTGGGGTCATGAGCTGCACAAAGGTTGATGGCTTTGACTATGTCAAGTGTGGGGTTCTCCCCACGATGGCCAGCTGTTGGCTGGCTTCCCCCAATGGTAGTCACAATGTTGGCCATATCCCAAATTGTGGAATAAAGATCTTTTTACTTTTAAAGGAATTTAAGTTGTGAGCTAGAAATGAGCAAGGACAAATTCCTGAAATGTCTCTAAAGTCAGCAGCTATTTATATCTGCACCCAATTCTACCTTGATTGTTCCTTGGGGAAATACTGTTGACTGTGGAGGAGATAATATTAGTCAGGTTTTGAAAACATTTAACTCTGACAAGAGCCAAATTCCTACTTCTACAGCTATTGCAGTGTAATAACATTTGATTTCTGCAATACCATTACCTATATCTGTGGGTGTAGGCTGAGGCTTTCGTTTTTCCTGTGAAAAATTAACTTTAGGCTCCTCTTGAGGCATCTGTTGCTTAATTTACACACCTGGGCCCACCCCTCCCTAGCATGTCATGGCTGGTCTCTTTGTACACCAGTAGGAATCCTGCTGGCTCTCAGGATGTTGTCCTCACAGATGAAAACCTCAGTCCTGCTCCTTTCCACTCACGATGCCCTTTCACCTATTCATAGTGTTCAGCTTGTAAGAGCTGCAACACAAGCTGTGGGCAAACTAAAGGTGTCACATGCCTTGGGGGACCACAAGTCTCAGTAATTCCAGGCATGTCCCAGTCTTGTTCTGATGGCAAGAATTCCATTGTGGAGATTCCCTATGGAAGATAAAGCAGCCACTCATTCTAAAGGGCCCAGCAGCTAGGCACTCACCCCGGCCTTTAACTTCCACTGGGTGGGAGAGGAAGTGCATGCTCCACCCCTGCTTCCAGGAGTGAGGAGGCTTGTGAAGGTCACTTTGAGTCTTCTTAAAGAACACATCTGAAGTAGCTTGGACTGAACTGGCCCTCAGTCTGTTGGTATTTCATCCACCAGTCTAACTTCAAAATTCACATAGCAAAAAGTGAATTCTTTCAAATACAGATCAGGAGGTCCTTTAACCCAGTGTGTTCTCTGGACCATTGCCCCAGAACTTGTTAGAACTGCCCTTCTTCTGACCTACAGACTCAGAAGCCTTGGGGATGGAGTCAGTGACCTATGTCTTAGCAAGGCCTCCAGCTGACTCTCATGCACACTCAAGTTTAGGAATTATTACTCTGGGTACTTAGAGATGAGGAATTTGGGTTTTACCATTGGTTCTCAACCTTAGGTCCACATTGGAATCATTTAGGCAACTTTAAAAATAATACTAACGTGGAGTTTCCATGCCCAGAATCCTCATCTAGTTTGTCTAAGGAGCTTTCTTTGAACATCGGCATTTTTAAAAGCTGGTGGGTCCTCTTGGTTTGAGAACCACTGATCTAACTCAATTTCTCATCTCTAGATGAAGAATTTTGTAGCCTATGACCTATAGAGGATGGGTCCAGGGTCATTTGGGCAATTAGTGTAGCAGAGCTGTGAGTAGAATCCAGGTCTCCCGACTCTCACATGGGTGGAAGGCCTGTGTGGCCCCTTGTGCTCTCGTGCTCTGAAGTCTCCACTCACAGTTTTTGTTCCATTCTTTGAGGGTGGGCAGGATCTTATAAAGGGAGATCAGCAGAGCCTCTGGATCACAGTGGTCTCATCTGGGCTTAGCCTGGATTTCTTCTGACCAACTGCAACCTTCCTTCTGAGAGCCTGTTCCCACCCCATATCTGGGGCCCCTCTGCTCTGCCCTCCCATTCCTGGGTCCTGACTTGGCACCCTGTCCCAGGACCCACTTCCTCTGAAATTAGGGTCCTATTTGGATATTTTTTTTGTCTAGAAGACTAAAAATTGCAAAATAGGCAAGAGACCCTGATTAAAATATATACTCAGTGCGTTTGCCTTGAGAAAAGTTGAGCTAGTGGATTTTACCACAGAGGTCAAGACTAGAAGGGGAACTTGATAATGAAAAATGGCAAAGTGAATATGGGAAGATTTATTACTAGTTTTTAATATAGGGCTTACTAAAGCTCTAACAGATAGAAACTTAAAGAGTTGGTGTTAATTTTTGTTACCTTCTTTGTCCTCCCTTTTGAAGTGTGTGTGTGCACACCTGTGTCTCCATGTGTGTGCCTGCCTGTGTGTGCGCAGGTGGAATCACTTAACACAAGTTGGCTAAGTTAAGAAGAGATGATGGTTCTTCAGAAGTCAGCCCATCGTGGACCTCTGAAGGCACCTCCGTATGGCTTGCACTTGGCCAAGACAGACTAACCTTCAGGGGCCTCTGTTTCAATGGTTTTCCTGTTTTATTTTTCAGGGGGCAGCACAGGCACTTCCCCAACCACCTCCAGCACCGGGACACCATCCCCTTCGGCTTCTTCTCATCTTTTATCTCCATCCTGTTCTCCTCCAACCTTTCATCTGGCCCCCAACACATTCAATGTGGGCTGTCGAGAGAGCCAGCTGTGTAATCTGAACCTCTCTGATTACCCACCGTGTGCCCGGAGCAACATGGCCGCCTTGCAGAGCTACCCGGGGCTGAGTGACAGTGGCTACAACAGGCTCCAGAGTGGCACCTCTTCAGCCGCTCAGCCCTCTGAAACCTTCATGCCTCAGAGGACTCCATCCCTGATCTCAGGAATACCAACTCCTCCCTCGCTGCCTGGCAACGGCAAGATGGAAGCCTATGGCGGCCAGCTGGGGTCCTTCCCCACCTCCCAGTTTCAGTATGTCATGCAAGCCGGCAATGCTGCTTCCAGCTCCTCATCGCCACACATGTTCGGGGGTGGCCACATGCAGCAGAGCTCCTACAACGCCTTCTCCCTCCACAACCCCTACAACCTGTACGGATACAATTTCCCCACCTCCCCTAGGCTAGCTGCCAGCCCAGAAAAACTGAGCGCCTCTCAAAGCACTTTACTCTGCTCTTCTCCTTCCAACGGGGCCTTCGGGGAGAGGCAGTACCTGCCCTCGGGGATGGAGCACGGCATGCACGTGATCAGCCCTTCGCCCAACAATCAGCAGGCGGCCGGCACCTGCGATGGCCGGCAGTATGGGGCAGTCCCAGGCTCCTCCTCCCAGATGTCGGTGCACATGGTTTAAAGGCCAGTCCAAGCCAAGGAGTTGACGGCAGGCAAGGCCCCAGAGTCTCCGTGGCTGATCCTTCTCTTCTGGAGCCTAGTGCCCTTGGAAAATAGGAACTGTGTATTTTTTTTTTTTTTTTTTTGGAGGAGAAAAACACATAGCCAAGAACAACAAAGACACCTTTAAGCCACTGAAGGATACTTGCGGTAGAATCATCCAAACTCAGTGGCTGTTCTCCTGCCTTCCCAACCTTAGTTTTATAAAGCATTGTCTGCTGCAGACTGGCCTTGGAAGAGACTGAATTATCATTTCATAATAATGTTAAAGGAGATGCTTTTTGTAGCAGCCATGAAAAGTCACACACACACAGACCTACCTATACATACATGCACACATGCACACATAGATATTCATACATCAACTCGGACGTGCACAAACACACAGCACGCTGACTCTGAACTGGGTGAACTCTGTGTGCCGGGAGGCCCAGCATGGGTGCTTTCACCAAGAATTTGTCTGTGTCCAATTCTAGATGGACCAGGCCAGCGGTAGCAGCTAGCCTTTCTCCCATGCAGCTTCCCCATTTCTGGAATGAACCGTGTATCCTGGAAACCCCTCTCCATTGAGGAGGGTGGAAAGACATGACTGCAACTGGACTTGGCTCCGGAAGAAGATTGCTTTGAACTTTGGCTCTCTTGGCTCAGTCTGCTGTCCTTGACGTTCCCAGTGGTGCCTGTGGAAAGAGGGAGCGAGAACAGCTGAATGAGAGAGAGACAAGAGAGAGAGAAAGAGAGAATAGTGAGTGGGAGAGAGGTGCAGAGCAAGACTGAGCGAGAAAGTGTGAGCAATGATGAGAGTTTTAATTCACCAAGGAAATTTGTTTTGAGTTCGTCCCCATCCCCCAGGTTATGGAGAGAGTCTTGGCGTTACTGTGGAGAACCCTTTCTGGGACCCTCACGCTTGGGGCATTAATGAGGGCAGGTGAGGAATGCATCTCATCCACAGCCCCGACAGGGTAACCCAGGAGAGAGTTGCACCAGGTGGAAAGTGCCGATTTCACAGCATGCAGCCTGGTGGGGAAGGGAGATCAAAGGGTATGAGGAAGGAAGAGTTTTATAATCTTGGCAGATGATACCGGGAGCAAAGACATGATCCCCACCCCTGACCTGGAAAGCCTGCCCACTGGCTCCTGTGGCAGGAAAACCCCTCTATGGTCCAGGGAATTGCAGATGGGTCTTCTATACCCTTCCACCTGCCCTTGGATTTCAATTTTTATCAAAATAGTTCATTGCATTTTGAAGTTTTGGGTTTTTTCTTTGTTTTTCCCTTCAGATCTTTTAATGATAAGAAAACAAGTGAAGCTTGGTGCAAGCTACAATTTTTAAATGGTGTGGAAATGCAAATAATACCAAGTAAAATAATACAGATATATTAAGATTTTTGGTTTTGAGGTGTTGTAGATAAGTGTATTTATATGCCTAGTGGGGAATCCAATATTATGAATATTAAAAAGGGGGCAATAAAAGGGTTATGTAAAATATGTATGAAGAAAAGGTGTATAAAAATTTGCCCTTATGCACGGAACTCTGTTTCTAAGTGCCAAGCACAGAAGCCGCTAAATAAAACATTTGCAATTGTTTTCTGCATGTTTGTTCATATAGAAAAATTAAATAATAGCCTTGTGCATTTTGATTGTGCTTTACAGTTAGCAGAGAACAGTTACATATGCTACTCTATCCTTATACAAACTCCATGGAGTAAATATTACCGTTCTCTTTTTATAACTAGGAACTGCATTCCAGAGAGATTGGGTGAATTATACAGGATCATATAGCCTGGCAGAAAGGGAACTAGGACTTGAAACCAGGTCGTCTGACTCTATCAGGACGTTTGCTTTCATATTAGCACAGACCCGTGTGAGTTGTTACCTGCCACCAGACACCAGGCCATGCATTTCACATGATTATCTCATCTTCTCATAATTCTCTTTAATGAAACTGTGAAAATTTATTATAATCGGCATATTGATTACATTCAAAGGGCTATTTATTAGGATTAATGCTCCACCCTTGATGGTTTTTCTTAGGGAAAGGCTGTTTTGTTCATCTTCACATCCTCTGGCCTGTGGTAGAATCTCAGTACATATTCTGATTGTTGAAGTTGTCTAGCAAAGACACCTTTCAAGGAAAGTGGGTGCCTGGCTGACTCTCTAAGTTGAAGGCACCTAAATTAACACAGATGTACTGTTCTTCATACATATAGTATTCTGTGATAAATTATTGTAAAACTAACTTAAATAGAAGCTAGCAAACTTCCTCTATGCATTATAGAGGTTAAGAATACGTGCCATGTTTTCTTTCTTGAAAGGGCTCACTTCTAAGGTAGCCAGCTGTACATACACGATAAAGGCACTGAAAGTTCAGAGAAGATGCTTAGGGTAAGAAGGTGAGATTAATTGTCTTGTTAGAGAGGTTAGAACTTTCACTGGGCTTTGAAGGATGCTTAGAATTTTTACAAAAATAAGGAAAAAACCTAGCACATTGTACCCCATAATTGCATTAATGTACACAGTTATGATTTAATAAAAAAAACTTAAAAATTAAAAAAAGGGACAGTGGATTTAAAACAAAGTAACATTTACAAAATAATGAGTAAGTTTTGGAGGAAAAATAATAGCATCTCAAATCAAAACAAGCAACTTAATATAAGCTGTAGATACTCAGAATCTTCTTTCCTAGAGATTAATATCATCTTCTTTGGAATATTTTTTTATTAGGGGAAGTTTTGAAGGCTGAGATCCAAGAGCAGAGCTGTTTACTTGATGACAAGTGTTTGGTTCATTGCTTACTACTTTGAGAGTTTCAGAGAAGCTCTGTTGTACCAATTTGCATTCTGTAAGCTAAAGAAGAGTTGTCATCCCAAGGAAACACAGACACAAAGAAAAAATTCTCATGCAAAGGATTTTTGGGTTAAGATCTTCAATTGGAGATTTCGTCACTGCACTCTGACCAGCTTTATTCATTCATCCTGTTCAATTCAATAAATATTTATTGGATGCTCCATGTCATCATGATATAGGCCCTGAGAACATAGCCAAGAACAACCAGACATGCACTCACCTTCAAGGGCTCATGGCCTGATGTTGAATACACTAAAAAGTAAATGAACAGTATAATTTCAGATTGCAATAGTGACTCTGAGTAAAGTAAATATAATGGGAGAATAGAAAATGGCTGGGGAGGGAGGATGAAAGCCCACTCTTAGGATTTTCCAAGACGGCTGCTATGTGAACTAGTGACATTTCTAGACATTTTCTTAGAATTTGCTTACTTTCTCTTGTGCTGAGGACAGTGGTATCCTTGGGGGAAGATGCGCTCTGAAGCCAGACATTTTTGTCTTTACAAGGGTTTTGTTGCATTGATACCAATTGACTAAAGTCTTTCAGTACTGGGCCATTTAGAGACTTCTCATGTCTGAATCTATCTTTTACCTGGTCCCATAAACTCATATTTTCATGAATTCCTCATGCAGAGGAGGACAGATAGCTCTTCTTTCTGACCTCTATAAAAAGTGAAAACTAATGGTCAATCAACCAATTAATAATCAATAAGAAAATATTAAACAATATTTTTAGGATATTTGAAAATATTCTATAATTCTTCTCAGAATGGTTCAATGTAATGTGGGGCTATAGAGTATTTCTTTCTTTCTTTCTTTTTTTCCTGAGACAGAGTCTCAAGCTGTCTTTCACTGTTGGTAGAGTGCCATGGCCTCACAGCTCACTCACAGCAACCTTCAACTCTTAGGCTCAAGTCATCCTTTTGCCTCAGTTTTTCTATTGTTAGTAGAGATGGGGGACTCACTTTTTGCTCAGGCTGGTCTTGAACTTGTGAGCTCAAACAATCCACCCTCCTTGGCCTCCCAGAGTGCTAGGATTACAGGTGTGAGCCCCTCTGCCCGGCCAAATAGAACATTTCTTTCTAAAGAAGATTTCAACTTGATTGAGGATCAGGACATATGCATATGAAATAGTGAACAAGAATGGTATTACATTGGTAGTAAAGACCATATACACTGAAGAATTTCAGAAGGAAATGAATTTTGAGCATTTATTGCATGTCACATATTATGAGGAAGTATGTTATAATCCTTGCAACTACTCTACAGGATTTGTCTTTTAATCCCTATTTTATAGATGGGGTAACCGAAACTCAGAGAGATTGGTCATGCATAGAAAATCACAGAGCTTGCAAGTAGCAAAGGCAGGGCTCCAACCCAGGCCTTCCCACAACTATATTTTTCCAAAAATGAGATTTAAAGGGACTATAATCAAGACAGATAGGTTCACAGAGCTGGTTAGTTTTAAATGATACTTTGAAGAAATCATGAAAACTGTATAAACTGAGGAAAAGCAGGGTGTCCCAGTGTGAGGGTGGGGCCAGCACATAAAGCCCCGTGTTCTCTGTGTGGGACAATGAGCTATGGCAGTGGGCCGGAGGGGGAGATATTCACTTTCTTGAATCCAGGCTCCTGCTGTTCCTGGCACTGCCACTCTGGATTCCCCTCTCCTTTGTGAGGTGTCTTGGCTCTGTAACTTGGGCAATCCAGGATTTCCTCCAGTGTCTCAGTGGAACCTTCAACCTGGGAAGCTCGAGTGGGGAATGGGGGGTGATGGAGAAGCCAAGCTGCAACCCCCCCCTGCTCCTGCCCCAGCCAAGGCCTCAGGCACAGGCTTAGCCACCACGCTTCTCAAGCCCAGCTCTGCACAGGGCCCCCCGCTTCCTCCAGCCAGGCACGCACAGCCACGTGGGATGGTGAAAGGGGACCTTGCTGCTTAAAGCCGAGAAAACATTCATCATGTTTTCCTTCTTAGCTCATTTTACTGCTTACAGCACTCATCTTTTACGGGCCAGCCTAACGGCATTTCCCACTTCAGATGCTTCCTACTCACACTTTCTGCTTTTATTAGGCTTTCTTGGAGGCCCTGCAGAGGCACAGAAAACCAAGGGGTTTTTGAGTCATTTTTAGTGTTTTCACCCAGAGAAGCCAAAGTGGGCAAAGGGGACTGCCAGAGGATTACCAGCTCAATGACTGGCGGTTCTCATTCTAGGGGAAGTTTGGGAACCCCGTGAAGAGGATTCTCAGAGTTGTCCTCATCTTGCTCC